CCACCCTCCAGAGAGGAGGCTTGTCTGTCCCCCCTGCTCTGCCACGGCGACTCCGCCCCGAGCCCTCACCTTGGACAGTGACCGCCACGGAGGATGCCGTTTCCAGGCTCCCAGGACCAGGGCTCTGGAAGATGGCACTGCAGTGGTAATGCCCGCTGTCCACCTCTCGAGCCACAGCGATCGAGAATTCCCTGTTAGGTCCGGGGGCACCCAGGGCAGAGCCATCTCGGTAGAAGGTGACCTGGGCCAGGGGCCAGCCTCGCCAGGCCTGGCAGCGCAGAACCAGAGGGTCCCCTTCGAAGATGGGAGCGGCTGGGCCTTGGAGGACCAGCCAGTCTGCGGCCAGAGCGAGAGCTGAGTCACCCACTGCCCGCGCGCAGCCCCCGTGCGGCCCACAGCGGACCCCTCAGCTTTCTCTGGGGATCCAGTGAGCTTTCGCCCCAAAAACTTCTAGGGCCTAGGATTGAGGGCACCGGGTCTGTGGGCCGAGAGGGAAGCAGAGCTGTCATCGGTGGCCAATTCCTGCGGCACCTTCCCGTGGGGGCTCTGGGCTGAGGGGGAGCTGTGGGAAGTGGGAGAGGACCTTCCCAGGACCTTACCGTAGGACACAACTAGACGGATGGGTCGGCTGAACATGTAGCCCCTTGCCAGGTAGTCCACTTCCCGGGCGCCCACGTCATCGGGGCGGCAGCCGCTGTCCCGGGTGCTGACGGGGCCCTCACACTGCAGGCTCTCAGAACCGGCCGCTGAGGAGGGCACGGCCGAGGAGCCAGGAAATGATGCTGAGACGGAGGAGAGCAGGAGCGTGCCCTCCAGCTGGGCCTCCTCCTCCTCCTCAGGGAGTCTCCCGTTTTAGAAGGAGAATAGGAAGACGCCAAGACCTTTTCCCCAGTAGACCCCCGGGGTCTCTCAGAGGGTCTCAGACGTGACTCACTGTGGTTTGGGGAAGAGGCAGGGGAGAGAGTGGTCAAAGGGTGGACTCACCTGCATGACAGCCAGCTGCTGTGGGCACAGGAACCAGAGGCCACGGCCATCGGCCCCGAGCGGTGGACACAGCACAGGAGAGAAGGGAGAGGTCAGCTCTCACCCCACTGGGTACATTACGAGCCAGAGGCTCGGCTCTGCCTCACACCCTCTATTTCATCATCACAGGGTTCCCAGGTGTGACTGCACCCCGAGTTTCTAAATCTTTAAGAAACAGGCTTAGAAACCCCAGTTAACTCACCCAAAGTTTAAAAGGAGGTGGGACTGCAGCAAGAAAACTCGGTAGTCTGAGTCCAGAGTCACCATTTAGACATGACCTGCTGCAGTCCTCAGCTTTCCTGAGGAATCTTCCTTATTTCCATGGTCCCAACTCGTCCTTGGCGATCTTACCCACCAGTGTCTCCTCCTCCCTTGCCTCGACTTTCATGTCTTCATTTTTCAGCCATCTCTGCCCTGATGTCTGTCCTCTGTCCCTTGAACTCTCCCGCCCGGTCCTCTCCTCCCGATCCTCTCCTCCCGATCCTCTCCTCCCAGTCCCGGCAGCGATAGAGCAGCTCTTTGCTTCTGGGTTGAGAGGTAGAGTTATGGGTTTCTCACCATTCTCCTCACCTGCCTCTTAGCTCAGGCGAGCTAATTCGATTCTCCCACCTCCACCCCTCCCTGGTCCTCTCTGGTCCTGTCCCCTCCCAAAGGCCCCACACTCCCCTTTGACCTTGTCATTTCCCTCAGCGAGGCCCCTCCCCCTTCCTGGTTCTCCTCCATCTGTCCGTGTCCATCCGTCCATCCGTCAGGCCAGGTGCAGTCCTCAGAGCCTCTGCCCCGCCCGGCTGCCCTCTCGGTTCCTCCACCCGCCCTCGGCAGCTCTCAGCTTCTTCTTTCACACGAAATCCGGTTGGGCCACCAGACACTTGCACTCAGAAAACGGCCGGAAGGTATCATCACTCTCATTGTGTGAACAGGGAAACCAGATCCAGAGATATGAAACGTGACTTTCTCAAAGAAACACCCTCGGTGGAAGAGGTGTGGAAACCAGAATGTCCGACCGCCCATCGGGAGCTCTGGCCACGCACTGGCCGTCCAGGGCTGGCTCTGTGCTCAGTGAAACGATCGACAATGTGACTACGGGCCAACGCGGTGCAAGAATTCAGACAGATCAGACGAGGTTAAAAGACAAAGGAAAGGCCGCGTCCCTTTGGTTTGGTGGACGGCACAGGCGCGCGCACAGGTCTCTGCGGGAGGGAGAGTGACCGGAGAGAGGCGCCAGGCAGCCCAGCCGCGGGCAGAGGGCTCCCGGACAGCTCTAGGGGCAGGGGCCGCCTCGCTGCCGGGGGTCTGGATGCCCAGAGTTTGTGAGCGAGAGGGGAACGGGGCCATGGGGTGCTCTT